CCCTCTCTGAGACCGAGCTTCCTTTTTTCATCAACACGGGGATACTGACTTCTACTAAATATTGCACACACTGACCTGGCCCATGGGCACCAGGTCTTTCTGTTGAACAGAACCTTCTCTCTCCAAGACTTAGCCCAAGTCCACTGTCTACACTCTCACGTTGACTTGGAGGACACAACTTGGCACCAGCCCTGGCCATCTCCTCTGGGAAGTTACCTGCAAACTCTTAACTGATGATGTAGCCCCTCCTGGAGGCCCACCCCAGCGCCTGCTCAGCCTGCCTCTGAGACCGGAATACCACATCTGGGAAGTTCAAAGGCAGGCCCAGTAATGATTCCCCTATGTTCAGCAGGTTACAGCTTGTTGTGCAGAGAAGGGAGTGCCTGGGGAATGGGGGGGGGGGGGGGGGGGGGGGGGGCGTTGTCACAAACAGTGGCCTGCAAGGTACAGTCCATCTTGGCTTTTGGAATAAGCAGTATGCGTACTGTACTGGTCAGCTTCTGGAGCCCTGGAATCCATGCTTTTAAAACAAAACCAAGGGACGAGGGTAGAGCATGCTTGCCTAGCATGCAGGAAGTCCTAGGTTCAATTCCCAGCACTGGGGGCTTACAACAGAAATGAAGCCTTGTCCCATGCCAGGCTTCTTAAATCTGAACCTTTCCACCTGACACGCCATTTTATCCAAGAATTTTTTCTATGTGACCTCAGGTCTATAGGTATATAAAATGTACACAAGTCAAATGTTTGTGATAATAAATCATAAGTAAATTTTTTTATTTTTTTTATTTTTTATTTTATTTTATTTTATTTTATTTTTCGAGACAGGGTTTCTCTGTGTAGCTTTGCGCCTCTCCTGGAACTCGCTTGGTAGCCCAGACTGGCCTCGAACTCACAGAGATCCGCCTGGCTCTGCCTCCCAAGTGCTGGGATTAAAGGCGTGCACCACCACCGCCCGGCAATAAGTAAATTTATTTCAGGACTTCAGAGATGGCTCAGCAGTTACTGATGTACTGCCCTTCCAGAGGACCTGAGTTCGGTCCCTAGCATCCTTGCCAGGTGGCTGTCAACCTCCTGTATCTACAGCTCCGGGCGACCAATGCCTCTGGCCTCCTTGAAGACACACTCATAATTGAAAATAATGAATATAAATCTTTTTTTAAAAAAAAAACCGGACGGTGGTGGCGCACGCCTTTAATCCCAGTACTCAGGAGGCAGAGCCAGGCGGATCTCTGTGAGTTCGAGGCCAGCCTCGTCTACAGAGTGAGATCCAGAACAAGAACCAAAGAAAAACACAGAGAAACCCTGTCTTGAAAAACCAAAACATAAATAAATAAATAAATAAATAAATAAATCACTTAATTTTTTAAAATACTTGAGATACATGTAATTTTACTATTCATTAAAGACTGAAGTAGGGCTGGAGAGATGGCTCAGAGGTTAAGGGCACTGGCTGCTCTTCCAGAGGTCCTGAGTTCAATTCCCAGCAACCACATGGTGGCTCACAACCATCTGTAATGAGATCTGGCGCCCTCTTCTGGCCTGCAGGCACACATGCAGATAGAACACTGTAGCTGTATACATGATAAATAAATCTTTAAACCAAAAAGAGAGAGAGAGAGAGAGAGAGAGAGAGAGAGAGAGAGAGAGAGAAGAGAGAGAGAGAGAGAGACTAAAGTAATTTGCATGTTGATGACCTTATTTATTTTTACCTGAGGAATTAAACTATGGCCAAATATTTAATAGGGGAAGATGCAGAACATCTTCAATGCTTCTCAGAGCTGGCCAATGTTTTTATTTATAATAAAAATAAATACACACATAGCATAAAACAACAGAGGCTTTTTCAGGCCACTCAGAAATTATTGGCAGTTCTGTGGTGATTCCCAAATCAAAACTCATTTCTTCTCTCTTTCTTCCTTCTTTTCTTTTTTTTTTTTTTTTTTTTTTTTTTTTTTTTTTTTTTTTTTTGGTTTTTCGAGACAGGGTTTCTCTGTGTAGCTTTGCGCCTTTCCTGGTACTCGCTTTGGAGACCAGGCTGGCCTCGAACTCACAGAGATCCACCTGGCTCTGCCTCCCGAGTGCTGGGATTAAAGGCGTGCGCCACCACCGCCCGGCTTTTCTTTCTTTTTTTTAAGTGAAATTCAAGTTAGCAACTCAACGAGCAATTTAAATTTTTTTAAACTTTATTATAAAAATTTGCAAAGAGGGGCTGGGAAGATGGTTAAGGGCTCTTGTTACTGGTGCAGAGGAAGGATCCTAAAACCTACACGGTGGCTCACAGCCATCTGTAACTCCAGTTCCAGGAGATCTGGTCCTCTTCTGACCTCCAAGAGCACAAGGCACACACATACACACAGGCAAAACACTCATACACATAAAATAAAATAAATAATAAATAAATCTAAAATAGAATCTTTAAACTTTATTTTCTTTAACTTTAAAATAAAAAACACCACACATCGAAGTTAAGCAACCACACCTCAGAATTAACGTTTTCTTGTTGTGCATTCAAAAGTCTTTTACTGGCACCAAATCTTTCACACTGTTTAGTTACAGAAATCCCCTAAATGAGGTCATGACCCAGAGTCAAAGAGGCTGAGGCTAAAGGTCGTTACTTAGGCCCCCCAACTGCACTTAGTTATGAATGAGACCAGCATGTCCACCCCAGATCATCGCTAGTTTGCCACTGTGCTGGGATCTGAGTTGTGGGAATTTTCCCATTTACTGAACTCTTTCTACACATCCTACTATTTATATAAAATTATTCACAGCACGAGACACTGGTGTGCCACTCCAGCCCACGTGCCTGAGAGACTCAGGATCCCCAGCTATGACGTGGGAATCAGCTCAGTGTCAGCCGTCGTGGGCACTTGTGCTACACAGCTGGGTCACCCATGAGGCGGGCTTCTCTCTCACACTAAACTGCAAAGCCGGGAGAGCAGGTGCAGCTCATGCCGGAATGCTTCCTGGTTCTGTTGGTGAGCTCCCTGAGTTTCCTAACCTGCCCCTGGGGGATCCCTGTGACTCCTTCCTGGTTGGACTGCCGCCTGCTGCTGAGCCCATGTCCCTTGGGGGTGCCTTTATTGCTCTGCTGCATTACCTCACTGGGTCTCAGCCACATCCCCAGTAGCTGGATGCTCTCACTTGCCTCACTTTACACTCATGGGAACTGACACAGGAGTTGGGGACAAACTGTCTCTGGTGGCAGGGAGGTAGAGCCCTCCTGGAACTGCTGCTCCCCAGTCCAACTCCACAAGGGAAGAGGAAGACAAAGCAAGATGTGCAGACTAGCTGCCATAAGCTGTTGTCACATGGCCACTGTTGGTGTCCTCCACAGCACTCAAGGTGTCATACCACGCCCAGTCATGAACATTTAGTGGACAGATGTGCACAGTGTCTACCAACCACTGACTGAGCTCCCACAACACACAGGGCACACTCTTGCTTCTAGACACTGGCCATGACGCAGCAAAAAGAATCGCAACTCTGTGCTTCCAATGTTCCTACTGAAGTAGCTGATACATGGCCTGATACAAGCCATGCCAGATGTGGATGGGAAGAAAACTAACACAGACCAAGCCAGGCTTTGTGGTGACACCCAGGAAGCTTAGGAAGGAGGATGGCTGAGTTTGAAGCTAGTCTGGGCTGCATGGCAAGATGGCTATCTAGGTATTAAGGTAGATAGATAGATAGATAGATAGATAGATAGATAGATAGATAGATAGACAGATAGACAGATAAGATGATAGGATGGATGGAATAGATGGAAAATTGAGAATTGGTGATATAGATGATAGAAGACAAAGATGATACATAAATGATAAAAATAGATGATCGATAGATAATAGAAATAATCAGAATATGATATATGATAGACAGATGATAGGTAGACTGATGATAGATGACAGACAGATGGCAGATAGATAATAGAATAGATGATTGATAGACAGACAGATATACAGACAGATAGATGATACACAGATAGATAATAGAATAGATGATTGATAGACAGACAGACAGATAGATGATACACAGATAGATAATAGATAGAGCAATCAAAGGGAGGGAGAGACAGACCAGGAGCTGAGAGGGTATGATTTCTAGTTCCTTTGAAACATGTTCTTTTCCTGAGAAGGAGGGGCAATGAGAAAAGCCTCAAATGGAGCATGTGTGACCTCATCACACTCTGGTGCCACTGTGTCACAGCAAAGGTGAAAGGGGTCTGGAACCAGCACTGGAAAGAGATGGCCACCTTGGGGGCCCAGGGCTGGAGGTCGACTCCTCTCAAGGCAGCACAGGCTGTGAACTGGGACCGGCATCCAGCAGACACTGTTTGTTTTGAGGGTCTGCCACCCAGCTCCCAAGTAAATCACACACAGAGGCTTATTCTTTTTTTTTTTTTTTTTTTTGGTTTTTCGAGACAGGGTTTCTCTGTGTAACTTTGGTGCCTTTCCTGGAACTCACTCTGTAGCCCAGGCTGGCCTCGAACTCACAGAGATCCGCAGAGGCTTATTCTTAATTATAAATGCCTGGCCTTAGCTTGTTTCTTGCCAGCTTTCTTAACTTAAATTATCCTGTCTACCTTTTGCCTCTGGGCTTTTCCCGTTCTCTTACTTCTGTAAATCTTACTCTTACTCTGTGGCTTGCTGTGTCCCTGGGTGGTTGACCCCTGATGTCCTCCTTCTTCTCTGGCTACTTCTTTGTTTCCTCCTCCCAAATTTCTCCCTCTACATATTCTCTCTGCCTGACAACCCCGCCTATCCTTTCTCCTGCCTTGCTGTTGGCCGTTCAGTTCCTTATTAGACCATCAGGTGTTTTAGACAGGCACAGTAACACAGCTTCACAGAGTTAAACAAATGCAACATAAAAAAAAGTAAAACATTTAAAATAATACTCTACAACAGACACTGGCCACATGCTCCTCACAGCAGCCTGAGTTTTGCATAGGCTTAAGACAGAGTCAAAAAGATCAGCATAGCTTCAGACATGGTGCCACTTACCTGTGAGCAGAGTATGAGAACCTTCCCCCGGGATAGACCTTCCATGGGACAGGATGCAGATGCTGGGGGCCCTTGGCTGGACACTGAGCAGGAGGCTCATCCTGACAGTAACCATCCACACGGGTTGCACATGATGCAGGAGGGTGCAGAGCTGCAGATCTGTGGATAAGAAGAGAAAGAAAACAAATCTGGGTGCACTCATGGCCTGCCCCGAGTCACAAGACTCAGGAGCCCTCGGGAGACTGCAGATGCAGGCTGCTGGACCAGACTGCCAGTCTTGACTAGTGCCTCCAGAAGCCTCCAGGGAGCCTGGTGGTGACTTCATTAGCATCTGGCTCTTTGCTCCAGAGGGAGTCCAGTGTGCAACGATGTCCAAGTGGAAGTGAGCCAAGAACATCCACAGAGAGAGCTGGGAAGGAATAGAGAAGCAAACAGAGCCAGTGTTTCATCTATGCAGGTCATGTGATGAGGTCAAAGGAGACCACCAGGGGATCCTCCTCAGAGTTCAACACCTTGCTGTCCCCTTCATTGGCTGATCAGATGACAAGACTCCCCAAAAGGATGTGACGGACCCATGGTCTGTGGCCCTCAGGACTGAGGTCTCATGAGCTGCCATGGAGCATGGCTCAGAAGCAGGGGACACAGGACAGAAACATAAGAAGTCCAGGGAGTTGATGGGAACTCTTCCAACCACAATGGCCTGGCACCCCACTCACAGACCCCTCTCCATTCACCATGTCCTGAGACCCAAGACACCCCAGCTGCCAAAGCCAGGTCTGTCTCTTGCCTCCAGCAGCTGAGTACGTGGCTTGTTTCGCCGGTTCCTAGAGCAATCCTTCCCAACCGGAAAGAACATCTCAATTCTATTAGTGAGACCTCTGAGCCAGAGCCTGGCTCTTCCTGCCTCCCTGCCAACATAGCTGCTATTAGCACAATAATGTGGCCAGTGAGGGCCCAAAGGCCACTCTGCTGGGGAAAGGGGGGCGCTGTGGTTCCAACACAAAATTGTGTTCTCAGGTAAAATGTTGCCAGTGGAGCTCCCACCGGTGTGTGTGTGTGTGTGTGTGTGTGTGTGTGTGTGTGTGTGTGTGTGTGTGCACGTCACATGCGCGCATGCCTGTCTTCCTAGAGGATGGAGAAGCTTTGAAGACAGGCTTGGATTCTGGTCTCAGCTCCCCTCCTTTCTTGCTACAGACTCTTAACCTCTCTGAGCCTCAGTTTCCTCATGGGTGAAATGAAGGTAATTAAAGACAGATCTCAGATGTCCCTCAAGGACTCACTGATGAGCTGGGGTAAGCGGAGCTGACATGGGGCAGGTGTCCTGTGAGGGACTCCAGGTGACCACAGCTTGGGAGCAGCCACCATGCTGCCGAGCATCTGTGTCCTAGCGACCCCCTGGCTAGTATCTGTCAACGTCCACAGGCACAGTGGGGAGAGAGTTATGCAAAAGGCTCTGTAAACACTACCTTGGGTTCTCATAGCAAACCTACAACCCAGGAGTCTGCTCACTGCATCAGTCAGAATCCAAGTAACAGAAGGGTGGTCATGGGGTCACAGGTCAGCCAGCTACAGGTGAATTGAAGGATGAGGTCATGGTATCTTCCGGAAAGGATACTAGTGTGGGCAGTCCAACTGGAGCTAGACAGTGTAGTCCTCAAGCTCTTCCCACATTCTTGCCCCATGGTGCAGCCTGGTTATCCCCCATCACAGAGAAATGTTACCCCTGCAGTGGGGTTGCATGGATAGCTGCTCCAGGCCTGCAGCAGCCTCCTTGACTCACATGAGATATACCTGCCCTTAGCCAAATGGAATCTTGATTGTCAACTTGAGGAGATCTACATTCACCTAGGAGACAAACCTCTGGGAGTGTCTGTGAGGACATTTCCAGAAAGGTCTGAGGAGGAAAGACTCCTCCATAGTGGGCAGCACCTTCCCACAGCTGGTCGGAATATAGAGAGGTCCAAGGAAATAAATGGGAGGCGGCCACGGGGCCCAGCCTTCCCTGAGGATTTACGTGCAGCTAATGGTTGATTGGGTTGAGGGGGGAAAGGTGGTCATTCTCCTGCAAGCAACTCAAATGAAACCCAGTGTCCCATAAAGAGAAGACACAGAAGCAGAATGGGTCTCTAGTTGGGAGAAGGAAGGAATTAGAGGGAGCTGGGAGTGGGACACAGTGGGGAATGGGCATGGGTGAGGCTGTGATAGAAGTATGCTACGTGTATGTATGAAAATATCATAATGAAATCATATAATATATACTAATGAAAACAGCTTAAGAGGTCAAGCATGGTGACTCACATCTTTGACCCCAGCACTCTCAGGCAGAGACAGGAGAATCTCTATGAGTTGAGGGCAGCCTTCCAACCCAACCAAGGCTGCACAGTGAGACACCATCTCAAACAAAAACTAAAAACAAAAACATCATTAGGAGAAGGAGGAGGAGGGAGGGAGAAGGGGGTGAAGGAGCAGAACAGGGGAAGGGGGAGGGAGGAAAGAAAAAGATAGTGCTGTGTAACCCGAATTCTAAACCGTTTTTTAATAATAATAAAAAAAAAACGGTGATAGATATTGGGGTAAATGCTGAAAGATCAGAGAGACAAAGGAACAAGCCACAGATACCTCTTACCTCTAGGACTCCTCAGCCTGAAAAAGCCTCTGGCTGAAAGGGACGCTTCTGCCGAAAAGCCTTTAGCTCCTGTCTCCTCAGGCCTTATATACCTTTCTCTGCCCAGCCATCACTTTCTGGGATTAAAGGTGTGTGCCACCACTGCCTGGCTCTGTTTTCTCTCCTAAACTGAGTCAATCTCATGTAGTCCAGGGTGGCTTTGAACTCACAGAGATCCAGATGGATCTCTGCCTCCCAAGTGCTAGGATTAAAGGTGTGTGCCACCACTGCCTGGCCTCTGTGAATCTAGTGGTTTGTTCTGTTCTCTGATCTTCAGGCAAATTTTATTAGGGTACACAATATATCACCACATGTGCAGTCCTCCACACACATGCCACAGTGCTCGTGTGAAAGTCAAAGGCAACTTTGGGGAGTCAGTTCTCTTCTACAATGTGGGTTCCAGGGACCAAACTCAGGGCCTTAGGCTTGGCAGCAGGTGCTTTCACCTACTGAGCCATCCTACCAGCCCCCAGTGGAATTTTTTTTATCAGAATAGTTGTCCCCATGCTGTGCTTTGTTCTCATCCTTTGCTCTCATCTTCAAGGTCACCTGGGGGAAGCTCCCTCTCTCTGTTATTTATCCATGTCTCTGTGATGGTGTCATTATTAGCCTCATAGTAACTAGTGTGTGGCAAAGGCCTCTTGACTGTAGAGAGAAGCCTTCCCAACATGTTCTTCTATGCCATCCAGGTTGTTCCTCATGCTTTGTCTTGCCAAAGAAATAATTTGACAACTTCCATTTGCAATGCAATCTCCACTTGCCGTGGTAGCACACGCCTGTAATCCCATGAGATTTGGGAGGCTGACAAATGATTGTCAGTTTGAGCCAGCCTGAGCTACAAAGCAAGAAGTTCCAGATTAGCCTGGACTGCATAGTAAGACTGTCTCAAAATGAAACAAAACCAAACCCACAAAAAAAAAAAAATCCAAAATCCAAAAACGTTTACTGCTATGTAATCGGACCCCAATTCCCCCGCACACATTTTCGAACTGGTAATGCTGGCTCACGTACCTGCAGGTGGCATCTTTCTCCACGTCCTCTGGTCTCCTTGCATGCCTTCATGGTGCTTTGAGAGCCTCTCTGTGAAGTTCCGGTCAGTAGTTTCTTAGATGTCTCACCAGACCACACTGGAGGGACAGACCTTGGAGGCCCAATGGCCTGAGAGTCTGCTGGCAGGAAAGGGAAGGAACATCTGTTGGTTTAAATAATAAGCAACGCTGTTACCGTGTCACAAGACACGACAAAACCCAGTATCAGAGCTTTATTGGGGGAAGGGACAGAAGAGTGTGACCAGGCCTGTGGAAGACACATGGGGGGGGCGGGGAGCAGAAGAGAAGAGAGGAGTCTGTGACCGGCTTTTTTTTTTTTTTAATTTTATTTTTATGTGCATTTGTGTTTTTACCATGGGTGTCAGGGTCCCCTGAAACTGGAGTTACAGACAGGTGTGAGCTGCCATGTGGGTGCTGGGAATTGACCTCGGGTCCTCTGGAAGAAGAGTCAGCGCTCTTAACCACTAAGCCATCTCCCCAGCCCCCTGTGACCGGCTTTTTAAGGATTCCCCTGCACATGCGCATGTGGGCTTACAGAGTTATGCCATGCATGCACAGATTGTGTGACCACACCTCGCGCATTACGTAATCACGCAGCGCACAGATGAAGCAAGACGTAAGACCCCTTGCTTAGCTACTGAACTGTGTGTGTGCAGTCATGCAGCTGGAGGAGCGGCAGAATCCTAACAACATCAACTAGCTGGGGCTTTGTGAAAAGCCCCGTGTGAGTGCCGCACAGCAGAGTCAGGACTGCAGGAGCTGCAGGTCTGAGAGGCAGGAAAAGCCAGGGAAGGCAGAACAAAGAAGCCTCACAAGGGAGGTTGCCCCCAAGAATGGGCAGCATGGGTCAAGCCAGCGCCAGGACAGGGCATTCCAGGAGAGCATTAAATGGACCTGAATCGGCTCACATTTTTCCTAGGCCCACTCCCATACATTCGATCATAAAAATCTGTCTTTTTTTTTTTTTTTTTTTTTTTTTTTTTTTGTCAGCTGCCTTCACGATCCTGGATTTTATGAACTGGACAGTCACTTTGGGTCCCTGGAATTTGGGGTCCTACACATTCATGATGCTCTGCCCACAGCCTATGGTTTCAGAGGTTTAGAATGAGGTTGCAAAAAGCAGCCTTGTGACAGTTAGTATGGTTGACATCGGTTTAAGCAAAAGAAAGTCTTTATTAGCCAGCCAGCGACTCCACTGGGTATAAGGGATCCCAGTGTAGCCCCAAGCCTTTATCAGGATCAGCTTTTAAGCACAAAAAACCATGTCCTGGGTTGACACACTTCAGTTAACAAGAACAATTAGCCAGAAGCAGAACTACAGAAGCCATAAAGCAAGGTTAGTGTATTTAGAGACTTTCCCTAACTGTGGATTCTGATGGTTGGGCCTTTGTTTTAGATTTGACAGGTGGTGCTGTCTCTGTGCCAACTTTAAGAGCCTGAAGAGTACTTCCACCAAGGAGTCAGTTGTTCTAAGATCTCAGGGCCTACTAAGTTCTGGGGACCTGTTACAGTGTCAACTTCACAAGATCAGGGATCATCAGGGAGACATACCTCTGACCACGCCTATGCGGAATTATACCTCTGAGCACGCCTATGGGGAATTATCTTTTAAAAATATTTATTTATTATTTATTTTTATGTGTTTTGACTACATGTATGTCTGTGTACCACTTCGGTGCCTGTGCTCACAGGGGCCAGAAGACGGCACTGAATCTCCCAGAACTGGAGTTACAGATGGTTGTGAGCTGCCATGTGGGTGCTGGGAATCAAGCCCAGCCCTCTGGAAGAGCAGCCAATGCTCTTAACTGCTGAGCCATCTCTAGCCCCAGTGTACAATTGTCTTTTAAGTTGATTGGTGTGGGAAGACCCATTTTAACCGGGTAAGGCCATTCTCTGGGCAGGGGATTCTGGATTCCATAAAATAAGTTAACCGAGCCAAGTCCGCACACACACTCATCCCTGTTTCCTGATTGTGGGTGCCATGTGACCAGCCTCCTCAAAACCCTGCTGTCTTGAGTTCTCCGTGATTGACTTGAACTACCTGATGAAATAAGTCCTTTC